AAAGTTCTGAAATAGTCACTAGAGAGAATGGGAAAACAGGAAAAGCAACAATAAAGGATAAATAAAGATACCAAACACCAACAAGGGCTCACTGAGGTTAAAACCCATTGAATCTGTTACCAAGGCCATTAGCACAGTTTTGTATTTTCTTCAACTGTCTGGAGACAAGAAGATCTCAACAGCTCCAGGATAAGTGCTACTGGAGAGTAAACAAAGGATCCTATGACTTCAGTGGAGATACTTGAGGATTCCTGGAGGGGAGGCTGATAGGTTTTAAAAATAAAATTTGGGTTAGTCCTAGGACACATACAAAACAGTTTCTATCCTCAAAAACTTAATACTCAGAGTTGACTCAGGAATCTTACTTAGCACTAGTTTAGCACTAGTTTACTGTTCCTCTAAGGATAGCTGAACATGAAATTAAAGCTTCTTATAAAGTTTTCCTGAATCTATATATAGTTAGATGCACAAGGCGCCAACATCTTAATCTTTACCTTTTTTCACCTAGATAAGAAATCATATGGGTAAATCATAATCATAAGGGTTTCACGTTAAACTCATGAAACACAAATTTATTTTATACAGAATCATAATTAATGAATACCATGAAAACTCTAAACAACAATGTTGTGTTCTAAAATCTTCTGCTGGTACAATAATCCCTACCGTAGGCATTCAATTACTATTGTCGGCTGGACAGTTTATCCGCCCACAAACCGAGAACTCCTGTCTTCACTGCATAGGAGGATGCAGCACCTAAGGTGAGAAGCCACTGGATGAACACCATTAGGAAAGCAAAACAGGACCTTCGGGTATCGGGATGTATTCAGAGGTGAGAAATTCAAGAAGCAATTTACCCGAAAACGTCACTGCAAGAGACAAACCTGTATTAATAAGAACGTCTCATTTCCAAAACAATAGAGATAAGCGAAGCTCGTAAATGCTGCCCTGGACGCCCCCCGCGAGTTCTCCGGGCCCCCCTCAGCTGCAGACAACCTCTACCAGGGGTGGGAAGCAAGCTCGGTTCCGCTCCTCCCACCACTAAGGGAAGGTCAAAACCGCACCGGCCGCCGTGGAAACGCGGAAGCCGCTCCTGCCGCGGGTGTAAGAGAGGGCCCGACTCCCTAGAAATGCTCGTCCCTAGAGACCAACCTTAGTGTCCCAGCTCTGCCACACCTCCGTCGGGTCTCAGCTCCGACTGCTGAAGGTCCTTTCTCCCCTAACCACGAGACCCACCAGCCTCGTTTCCGTCCCCTTCCTCCGCCTTCCACCACGGTCAGCTTAGCTCCAGTAACCTAATGACCACTCCCCAGGTCCCGTGTTTACATTGTCCTTGCCCTTTACCTACCGGAAGCGGAAGCTAACATGCCCGACTTCCTACCTGCCTGCCTTTGAAGCCAGGTCTCCCAAGAAATTGGCCTGGCTGACCCGAGGCGTAGGAACAGCGCAGAGAAGCGGGTAGGGAAGAGACGACTCTCAAAGACTTTATGGTTTGCCAATCCCTTTCCCGGGACCACTAATCCCAGAAGTCACTGCGGCAGTCTCCATCCCCATTGCCCTCTGGGATCTGTAGTCCGGGCCACCCGGGTCCGGAGCGCCCTCTAGTAGCAGCTGAGGGCTTCCGGTGCGCGGACGATGACAAAGCCGGAGCGCGGGAAACTGCGGCTGCGCAGGCTGAGGTGCGCCGCAGGGAAAAGCGGGGGCCGCGAGACTGCGGGACTCGTTCAGTCGCGATGTGAAACGGGGCTCGGGGGAAAGGATACGGGGGGAATTCGTAGCATTAACATAGGACCCTGCCTTAAAGGAGTGTACAGTCCAGGCGAGAGGCCAGTCAGACGCAAAGGACAAAGGGAAAACTCCATCAAGAAAGAGCTCAGGGGAGCGGATTCCGGGAGGCCCTTGGTTCAACTGCAGGCTTCACGTCGGAAAACCCATTTTGGGTCCAGAATTGTAACCTGAAAGTAGCTGTAGTTTATGTTGTGAAAATAAGTGGGGAAATGTAATCCAGGGAACTGTTTAGGTAATTGAAAAATTAAGACTTAATTTATCGACGTAGCCAACTTGTGCAAAGGAAGACCAATCTTGTAGAGCAGGCTTTTTCAACCTCAGCATTGTATGTCAAACTGCATGATCTTTGTTGGAGAAAGGGAGGCTCTCCTGTGCCCGGTAGGGTGTTCAGCAGCATCTCTGGAATCCACCCACTAGATGCCATTAGCATCCACTACCACCACCAGTACCACCAGAGGTGACAACCAAAAATGTCTCCAGTCGTTGCCAAACGTCCCTGGAAGGAAAATTGTTCACCCACCCCTGCAGCCCTGAGAACAGCGGTTGTACAGCAGTGATTCTCCAAGGTGATCCTGAGAGTTGCCAAGACCTCTTCCAACTATTTTTATGCTCCTAGGAAGACATCATTGGCCTTTTTCACAATGTTGACATTGCACTGATAATGGGAAAGCAGTGGTGGGCAGAATTGCTGGCAGCTCAACTGGTATCAAGGCAATGATGCCAAACTCTGCTAGTTACTGTATTTTTCAACACCACTCATACTAAAAAAAACAAAAAAACAAAAAAAAAAAACCACACATTCAAGAATGTCCTTCATGGGGCGCCTGGGTGGCTTAGTCGGTTAAGCGTCCGACTTTCGCTTAGGTCGTGGTCTCGCGGTTCGTGGGTTCGAGCCCCGCGTCGGGCTCTGTGCTGACTGCCAGCTCAGAGCCTGGAGCCTGTTTCAGTCTGTGACTCCCTCTCTCTCTGACCCTCCCCTGCTCACGCTGTCGCTGTCTCTGTCTCTCTCTCCTAGAAATAAATAAAACATTAAAAAAAAAAAGTCCTTCATGAAGCAGTAAAAATTATTAAAATGACCCATGAGACCTTTGAGTAGTTTTTAATCTGTATCACAAAATGGGTAGCACTCATTAAGTACTTTTGCTGTGTACTAAAGTATGATGTCTCCAATAAAAGCGCTTGTGAGACTGCATTATAAACTGAGGTACTTTTTTTGTGGAACGCAACTCTTATTTAGAAAAACAACCAGGGGCGCCTGGGTGGCTTAGTCGGTTAAGTGTCTGACTTTCGCTTCGGTCATGATCTCGCGGTTCGTGGGTTCCAGCCCCACGTCGGGCTCTGTGCTGACTGCCAGCTCAGAGCCTGGAGCCTGTTTCCGTCTGTGACTCCCTCTCTCTCTGACCCTCCCCTGCTCACGTTGTCTCTCTCTCTCTCTCTCTCTTAGTAATTTAAAAAAAAAAAAAAAAAATTAGAAAAACAACCAGAAGTCCAGCTGGTTATTCAGGCTTGAGTATGGGACAGGCCTTACGAAAAATAACAAAAGGAGCCTGTTACCTCAAAGAAAACAATTGACGGTGTTGCCAGTGATACTGTCATATCATAGAAGTATTATCATCTGGAGTACACAACTTCTGACATTAATTACAAAAGATACAAAGGTAATGGAATGTTTCTTAATATGGGTTGAGGTTTACAAGACTGTGTTCACTGCAAACCTAAATCACTGAAAATTCATCAAGCCAAATATTTAGGATTTGTGCACTTCTCTGTAATACTTCTATAAGCCCTTAAAACACATATATCTCCCTGACAAGACGAGCAGGATTTATGCCTTTATGGTCACATTCTTAGCACTTGGTTGGTTCATAGTAGCTATAGGAGGGGATATTGCAGGGTGAATGGCTAAGTGATGCTTAAAGCTGTACACCTTTCTAGGGGTCTTTCCCACATCTCTCAAATAACTTTACTCTGGTAGAGGGCTACCTCAACACTAAGTTTTCACACTTACTTCCCTACTTACTTTGTCCTATGAACTCGATGTGGTTATTAATATATTTAATACATTTCTCAGGCTGTTTATTGACAATAGGATCATCTTCCAAGTTGCTAGAGACCCTCTAAATTTATCAGAATTAACATTTATTGGCATTCACAATGAATAGAACAGTCTATTTGCCTACAATATAACAGTTCAATAAGTATTGATTTTTCAAACAAGAGAATTTATTGTACTTTATACAGTCAGGGTAAATAAATATCTAGAGCAATTTATAAGTTCCCTAAAGAACAATCTTATGTGCTATTCATAACATTCTTTAGTACTCTTTTCTTCTGTTACAATTATCAAACTATTTTAACAATTTAGAATGCCAACAATCTAGCACGAGGCCTGCCTAACAATGCATATGGAATAGAAGATTTCATTACAGTTGAATTCTAAAAGTAGTGGAATTCTAACCAAATCCATGTCAGCAACCAAGGAAAACTGGTAACCACTTTGGCTTTTATTGTATATATCTTAATATTTTGTTCAGGTGGTTACTTTTTAGTTGAAATAAAAACTCAGTAGTTTGAGACAAAAATCACAATGTTTTGAGTTAAAATGTGTGTAAGCACTGTATTTTATATTTAGGCACATTGTCAAAAAGGTGCACATATGGTCAGCAAGGAACACGTGTGCTTATTTTTTATTTAGTTTTTCCAGTAAGCCCACTGCAACAGGAAAAACTATGCTTTTATCCTCCATTTTCCAAATCAAAGTATTTTAAATTATATACCTAAATATACCCCAGTCCAAACATACATGAACACATCTCAGAAGTATTGTATCTCAAAGGTTGATTTCTACCCTATTACCAGTTTATAGTTATGTTGTATGAGGAGTTTCATTCATCTTGTCAGGAGAATTCACAATGAATATAAGATTTCTGCTGTGTACGAGGAGATGAGGAGATGGACTAGAATTAAGGGGGAAAAATTTAAACAACACACCATTTGTTTTTCATTCCAAGGGTGTTAGTCCAAGCATAGACGCATGGAGTCCTACATCTAGCCACAGTCCACCAAGCATTCATTCACTGTGAATGGTAAAACTACAAGGTCAAAAAGCAGAGACTGAAGGGGTGGGGCGGGAGGGTAACAGCACAGGACTTTTTGTATAAAATCATTTAAAACTCTGAAAAACTACAAAAGCATCTCAAGAGAAAATGTAATCAAAATAAAAGCAATGGAATTTATTTCAGTGAAATTATTTTAAATTAGATATATTAAGCTCCCATATCCCCCAACCTGGTAGAAAATTTCCTCTCAGTGAGAAATCATTTATTTTAATGGCAAAATTTTTACATATCAGTAAAATCTGTTATATTTAAAACTATGTATACAGTACATTTCTGGCAAAAACCTTATACATCTTTCAGTTGTCAAGACAAAGTAAAAATATGGTTGCATAAATCACAAAAAATATAAATTGCTGAAAAGATAATAAAAAAAGATTAAAAATCATTTGCATTGACGCCCTTATATCTTCAGTTAGTAAGAATTTGCAAACCACAATAAATTTTTGAAAATTCTGACACAACCTTGACATAGTCAACCAAAAGTTGTCATTTCAAATATCCCAGCTTAAAAAAGAATTTGCTGCAATAATCTGTGCGTTTATCATACTATTTGTACAAGTGCAATATTTAAATATCTTCAAAATAAAACTCAGCAACTAAAAAGACTCACAATAACTTAACAAGAAGCAAAGTTTACAAAATTAACAATTTTTAGAAGGTCCTATTTAATTGGTTCCTCCTTTCGAATCCCCCCTTCCCCACAACAGCTTATAGAGACATTCTGACGATGTCTTAGTTCTATGTACAAATCTGCAACTTTAAAAATACAGTCTTCTGTTCTTAACATCAGGAACATAATGCTGCATTTAGAGACCCTACATTAAATCAATATCCCCAAAACACAGGGCCACATACAAGTTATACAGTTTTTAACTTAGTAAGTTGCACTCCTATTATTTTATACAGCTTTCAGATTCTAAGTTGAATAGATAAATCCCAGACAGAAAGAAGCAAGACTTTTCTTTTGAATTCAGTGCATGTTTGTAGGGGTGCTGGAACCAAATCTACAACTACAGTTAACTGTGCAAGTTATCAAGACACTTGAGTACATAACTGTCCAGTTACATAGGTGGTTACTGGATTTGCCACAAACAGTCCTATAATACAAAGGTATTAAATGAGAAATAAGACCACTCTTCTGCAATGGAAAAATGATTGATACCAAAAAAATCAATACCTTGAAGTTAAAATAGTATAAGGCAATTATGGGTGATATAGTACTTTTTATTTTTTATTAGCATACACAGGACACCAATTTTAACTGAGGTGACTTTAAATCTTCATTTACAACTATTATGGAATGCTACTAGGAAGAAGGAAGAAGCAAGGAAAAGAAAATATAGAGATCTGACAAAAATTAATGATGCATCTTTAGGCAGTTCCCATAATGCTACTTTTTAAAAATTGATTAAAATCCAAAACAAATGTGACCATTTAGATGAACTGATTTATTCCATATTTATTGAAATAATAATGTCCTCTGTGGCAATGTTTAAATTTTCACTGAATCCTGATTTGAAATAACCAGCTATAAAAAAAATTTGGAAAACAACCAGGGAAACCTAAATATGTGTGATTAGATGACATTAGAGAATTACTAATCTTATAATAGTATTACGGTTTTTTAGGAAAATGTTATTATTTTTATGAGATGCTTAAAGTGTTGAGGGTGATAAGTATGTCAGCAACATCGAAACATTTCAAGGAGAAAAAAACCACATATATATATATATATACATACACACACACACACACACACACACACATGTACAACTATATCTGTATACACATAGATATAAAGCAAATATGACAGAAGGTTAACCAGTGTTGAAGCTAAGTGGTAGATACACATGTGACCACCTTAGAGCCTTTCCATTTTTCTGTTCTTAAAAATGTTCATGATAAAATTTGGGAGAAAAAATCTTATCTGAGCGTTTAAATGGTAAGAAATAATTTTGTGTGCTAAATCAATCTGAAAGATACATAATTGAATGACTAGAAATTTTTGTATACATTCAATACTGACGGACATGAGCAGCAGAATTTGTGAGATTGACAAAAACATGATTTATTTATAATATATGCAACTCAGCTCTTCTGACAAAGAAATTTATGTACAGAATATAGTGAGACAAATTGTAAAACTTAACTTCGTGCCTAGAGTATCTGAATATATAAGTTCTGTGTGTTTTGGACTTACCAAGCTAAAGAAAAAATTTTAATTATGTCTAATTTAATCCTCGATGTGCTTACCATATACTAAAAAATATTAAGGGAAGAAATATGAAAGAGCCATCCAGCCTGTCATTCCTGGAAGATACTTGCTGTTTCAGAAGTTCAGGAGCCCCCCCAAAACAAATAACCTATAAAGGTCTCTGGGGGTTCTAGACAAATATTTATTGAATAAATTTCTGAAGCAGTTATAGAACACATGAACTTATAATAATATATGAAGGCCTTTATGGTAAATTAATATTCTACAAAGCCCTGTATACACTAAATATAAAATAGCCAAAAATCAAGTGAGCCTGAGAGACCTATAAATTCACTGTGAAAATTACATTATGCTATATGCCTACTGAACAATGAACAAAATTATCTTAATTCATTTTTGCACATTAGATTTTTAACTATTAATCATGTTCCAATTCCTGTGCAAACTGCATTCCAAAAGGCCAATCCTCAGTTATAATTATGTATAACTTGATTATAAATGGAAGCATTTGGCTATGATTTTTTATGCATGCTTATTGCTATCAAAGAAATAAGCAAAGTTTTAGGTTTACTGTGCAAGAATTTTAATTAGATTTGCACACATTTCAAAAAATTCTATTGTGTGACTTCCGGGTCTTGGAGTTAATTCAACAGGAGAAGAGTCAAGTGAGGTCACGGATGAGGTAAGTGAAGCTTCTGAGGATTTTCCTTGAGCGTCAGCGTCTGATTCATTCCTTTGGCAAGAGCGATAGTTGCTAACTGATCCTGATCTCTGTGGAGTAGCAGTCCCTGATTTGGCTTCAGTAATTTCATCTGGTAAAAAAAATTTCAATTTATTATAAGCTATGACACCTCATAATTTTTATGTTTTTAAGTTTTGTTTATTTATTTTGAGAGAAGAAGGGCGAGGGTATGAGCGAGGGAAGGGAGAAGGGGCAGAGAGAGAGGGAGAGAGAATCCCAAGTAGGCCCCATGCTGCCAGTGCAGAGCCCAACATAGGGCTCAGTCTCACAAACCGTGAGATCATGACCTGAGCAGAAAGCAGGAGTTGGACGCTTAACCGACTGATCCACCCAGGCATGCCCCCTCCCCCCATCAAAAGTTGAACAGTATTTAATTTGCTTCTTTGAATGAGAGCACTGACCAGCTATCAAGAGCATGTTTATTTTGAAAACTTTCTAAAATAGAGGTGATGAATCTGTGTTAAACCATTTGTCTTTTTTACATACAACATGTATTCTCCTGATGGCTAATCAACATTGGATACAGTACATAGCTACTTATCAGTACATAGCTACTCATCAGACTTACACTCCAAAATTAATAGCCCAATAAACTAATAACATGGGGCTCAGTAAACATCCTTCCCTAGCGAAATAAATTCCTCTCTCTATATTAAAATCAAGGAATAAATGCACTTAAAAGTTGGAAATCTTGGAAAGCACCTCATCCAATGCTTCATTCTATTGATAAGAAAACATAACTCCCAAAACAGAGAGAACAGGGAGGTAATTCTAGAACCTCCTTCTCCTGTCATTTCACTGCTTTTCACTCTCCTACTTTCTCTTCATATTTAAGATCTCATGAAATGATTCCAATAAACAAATTAAGAAAAAACTAAAGTTGAAAACACAGTACAAAAACCGTCAATGTTCATTCAACTGGCAAACCCAGGGGCTAATAAACCTAAGGTTATAAATTTGATCCAAATACAATGAGAAATATAAAACCCATTCCATATCTCAAACTGCATTAGTATGTGTTCGCATATAAACATCATCTGGACAGAGAGATAAACAGACAAACAGCTCTGGCCAGTACATCACAGCTCAAACCTGTGTCTTTCTGACACTAAGTAGGTACTATTCTTTTGTTTATAAAGAAGACAAAAAATTCATAGGTAAATATAATAATTCCATAGGATCTTAGATAAACAAAAGTGGTAACAGATCTTAACTGATTTGGCCAATGAAGAACTGCTAAAAACTTGTACTTAATTTGGGGCGCCCAGGTGACTTAGTCGGTTAAGCGTCCGACTTTCGCTTAGGTCATGATCTCACGGTGCGTGGGTTCGAGCCCCACGTCGGGCTCTGTGCTGACTGCCAGCTCAGAGCCTGGAGCCTGTTTCAGTCTGTGACTCCCTCTCTCTCTGACCCTCCCCTGCTCACGCTGTCTCTCTCTCTCTCCTAGAAATAAATAAAAATATTTAAAAAAAAAAAAAAAAAAACTTGTACTTAATTAAAGGCTCTGTTTGTGAGAGAACATTTATATATACAGCTATGCTCTTAAAATGCTGCGATAAAGTATTTACTTAAATTAGGAATCAGGTGTGTTCTGTCAGGCTTTTTAATAGCGTTAAATTAGTTTCAAGACTGCATGCATATGGGAAATCTGAATTAATATAAACTTCAAACCATGTTACAGTATCATACCATTTACTAAAAGTCCATTATAGTCTACTCATACATACATTGGCATAAAGATATTTTTCCCATTTAAAAATAAAAATAAAGCAATCTCTATCAAAATAATACCACAATTGTTTACTAAGCTAGAACAAACAATCCTAAAAAATCCTAAAAAAAAAAATCTTTTTCTTCCTGAAAAAGGAAACCAAATCTGGAGGCATCACAATTCTGGACTCCAAGCTGTATTACAAAGCTGTAATCATCAAGACAGTATGGTATTGGCACAAGATCAATGGAATAGAATAGAGAGTCCAGAAATGGACCCACAAACGTATTGCCAACTAATCTTTGACAAAGCAGGAAAGAATATCCAACGGAAAAAAGACAGTCTCTTCAGCAAATGGCATTGGGAAAACTGGACAGCAATATTCAGGAGAAATGAACCCAAACCACTTTCTTACACCATACACAAAAATAAACTCAAAATGGATGAAAGACCGAAACAAAAGACAGGAAGCTATCAAAATCCTAGAGGAGAAAACAGGCAACAACCTCTTTGACCTCAGCAACAGCAACTTCTTATTTGACCTGTCTCCCGAGGCCAAAGGAGAACTATTGGGAACCTCATCAAGATAAAAAGCTTCTGTACAACAAAAGAAACAATCAGCAAAATTAAAAGGCAACTGACAGAATGGGAGAAAATATTTGCAAATGACATATCAGATAAAGTGTTAGTATCCAAAAATAAGATAAAAAAACTTATCAAACTCAACACCCAAAAAATAACCCAGTGAAGGAATGGGCAAAAGACATGAATAGACACTTCTCCAAAGAAGACATCCAGATGGTTAACAGACACATGAAAATATGCTCACCCTCACTCATCGTCAGGGATATACAAATCAAAAACTATAATGTGATACCACCTCACACCTGTCAGAATGGCTAAAATTAACAACTCAGGCAACAATAGATGTTGACAAGGATGCAGAGAAAAGGGCACCCTTTTGCACTGCTGGTGGAAAAGCAAATTGGTGCAGCCACTTTGGAAAAGAGTACGGAAGTTCCTTAAAAAATCAAAAATAGAACTACCCTATGACCCAGCAACTGCACTACTAGGTATTTATCCAAGGGATACAGGAGTGCTGATTCGAAGGGGCACATGCACCCCAATGTTTAGAGCAGCACTACTGGCTACAGCCAAAGTTTTGAAAAAGCCCAAAGGTCCAGTGACTGATGAATGGATAAAGCAGATGTATATACAATGGAATATTACTCAGCAATCAAAAAGGATGAAATCTTGCCATTTGCAATAATGTGGATGGAACTAGAATGTATTATGCTAAGCAAAATAAGTCAGAGAAAGACATATATTATTTCACTCATACGTGGAATTTAAGACAAAACAGATGAACATAAAGGAAGGGAAGCAAAAATAATATAAAAACAGAAAAAGAGACAAACCATAAGAGACTCTTAAATACAGAGAACAGAGGGTTGGTGGTGGGGTATTAGGTGGGGAAAGGGCTACAAAGGCGTGAGTGGCATTAAGGAAGACACTTGGGATGAGCACTGGGTGTCATATGTAAATGATAAATCACTAAATCCTATTCCTGAAATTATTATTACGCTCTATGTTAACTAACTTGGATTTAAATTTTTTAAAAATAAATAAATAAACAACAATAACAAAAATGTCTGCTTTCTGCAATTAATAATTTACCTCAACTTTATCAATCTAAATAGTTAAGATATTCCGGCAAACTATACCTAATGGTCGTTAATCAGAGATATATTTTCTAAGTATAGGTCTTCATTTTCAAGCTATTAAAACAGTAAACTACTACTTATCATAATTTAATGTTTCTTTAAAAAATATTCAAAGAGGTACTTTTAAGATTTTATACTGAAGTAAATCATTATTTTGATGACCAATTAAAATACCTAACTTTAAAAGTCTGAATATTTCAATTTGATCATCAGGTTGTCTCTGATTGTTTAAGACTGTAGGTAAACAGACATGCACAGCAATCTGAAACTCAGGTTAACAATGTCACTTCTAACTAATTATAATCATTGCCTATAACATTATCTTTAGTCCCAGGAAACCCTATATTGTGCATTCATATAAAAGTGATCTATTATTTAAGAACACTTTATTGAGAGGTAGATAAAATTGGAATCATGTAACTCTCACAAAACTAATAAAGGATGCACATCTCTGGTATGTCTCTAGCAACAGGCTGGAAGCAAAAGGCTGGATGAGAGGAGAAAAATACCGTTAAGTCCCTTACCTGTCCGAAACATTTCTCTCTCAGTCCCCTGTAAGAAACCTTACTTGACAATTTCTTGTCCTATGAGCTACTAATCAAATCTATTCGCATTGCGTTATCAATCAACTCTGAAAGGTAATAACTGTACTCTAATTCTTAAACGAAAAGTTAAAAATATATTAAATATCAGATATAAAAAATATTTAATAAAAAGTCCATTTATTTCTAAATAAAATATTTTATCTTACCAAAATGAACCCCACCAAAAAACAGAAATGTGGCAGAAACTATCATTTTAGGATCAGACTGCATCTGGCTTTAAGGTAATCTTAAAAGGACAATACACTATAAGATGACAACAAACATAAGATTCATAAATGCTGACATCACAGAGGCACAAAATCTCACATTTTATATTCTTTTGCTATTGAATTACTAGGAACACAAGAAGCTTTGAAAGAATCAAAGACTAAAAAGCCAAATTAGGTAACAAGGTCTAGTTTATCAACTAAGTTGTTTTGTGGGATGTACATACCATCAATACTACGGAAATCCAGTAAATACGTTCTACTATCCACTTGGTATAACTGTAGACTCATTTTGGAGTATGTACTTGTTACAGGATTCTTCCTTCGAACACGCAAATAATATGGGTTTACAACCTAGTGTGTGGTATGGACAAAAACAAAGTCAAAAGCAGTTCTTCTATAAAACATTTCATAGACTACAGGCTTGCCAAATGTGCCTAAAATCAGAATACCTTTCTTTCTTACCTTCCATTCGTAATCCAGTTGTTTAATTGCTCTACAAACTTCTGCCATGATATCATTTGGTCGACTTTGACTTCTGATTCCCAAATGCCATTTTGCCTTCCTTACACCTTGGTGTTTTGATTTCTGTGGGTTTAATTCATCAAGGGTGTGGCGTGCCCTTGGTGTTTCAGCAACCAAGAATGGTACTCTTTCAGGATGGGGCCGAGTCAAATGGTGATCATCGAGAAAAGAATCAGGTGGGCTTGTTGCCAAGTAAAAATCTTTGGCCTCATTCATGATCCTCCTGTTATCTATTATGAGGTGATAGGCAACTGCCAACGGGTCCTGGTGATTTCTATTATAAAGGCAGCTGAGAACCTCTTCTTCTGAGCATTCAAATTTTTCACATACTTCTTTTAAGGCTTCATCATCAATCATGGTTGAACTATATGATGGATCCTCAGGGAAGAGATATTTTGGAAGATCTTGTTTAAACCATTCATGCTCCCTAAGAGACAATGACAAGGTCAGGAAAAGGATTTTGAATATAGGGGAGACTGTAAGTAACAGCTTGGGGAATTTAGGATATGAATTCATTTTTTATATGAATTTATTTATATACATAGAGCATTTTCATTTTTTTAAACTGAGCCTTTCCTCTTCTGGCTCACATTTCATTGTATATATAGGGGGAAATGTTCCAACCTCCCTCGGATTTTAAGAGGGAGAAAGCAGCGCTGCACTAACTGGAAAAGTAATGTCTACGCTTTTACTTAAAATTTTGGCACAAATGACAATGACAAACAATGACCAACATCAGCTTATTTCTAGTTCAAAGAAGAATATATTCTGTGGCTTCATTATTATATTCTTAATATAATGTTAGGTGAAAAATACAACAAAAACAGACAACTGTCATGCACTGACTGCTTATTCTGTGGTAGATTTTAGGCTAAATACTTCAGATACATTATCTCACCTTATAAACCAACTCTATGAAGACGATAACTTCAAATATAAAAGGATATGTTTGACGTAAACTATGTCAAAAACTGCTAAAACTAAAAACATCATGAAAGGAAAACACCCAAAAGAACAATGATTATCTTCTCGGTGATGGAATTAAAGGTCATTTTCCCTATTTCTGTGTGTGTGTGTTTTCTACGTATTTCAACTGTCACATACTGCATTTAAATTGGGGAGAAAAAACACATAAAACACAAGTAAAAGCACCTTTCACTTAGATATTTTAAATTTTAAAGAATGATTTGTCCTTTTCCACTGGTGGTAAAAGCATGCCCTTCCATATGAAATTTACAAATCCATAATTTCACATGTGATTCAATGTATATTACCCAAAATACTAAAGCATGCCATTGATTAAATTCAAAGTCCTCATTACTTCAGATGAACAAAAGGAAAAAAAAGGAGTAATTCATGAGATCCGAACTCAAAAAGCAACAAACAATTTTACTACTAATAAAAAGCATTAATCCTAATGAGAATGCCTAAAAGTCATATATGAAGCATACTACAGAAAATCTTAAAGAGCCCCTACAAAATTTAACAGCCCATCAGGGTCCTTTTTATTTTACACTAGCTAGTTTTTTTAAGTTTGAAAAGTAATATTCATTGTTACAATTTCAAAAGACAGACACATAAGTGAAAAGTAAAAGCCCTTCCTCCTACTAATCTTCCTTCCCTAAGGTAGCCAGTTTACTGTGCATTTTTAAATACCAAAATAAATGTGCCTATATACTGTATTTCTAACATAAAAATGACATTACATTATACATACTGTCCTGCAAGTTTTTCTTTCACTTATATCATTGAAGCTATTAGATCTGATAATCTCCAAGTTGCATTATTACCTGATATCTTTGATTGTGGCCCTCTTCATGGGATCCACCTGTAGCATATGTTTCAAAAGGCTAATCACAGATGGATTTAAATACTGAGGGGTATAAAAGATCCCATCACATATCTTCTTAAAAAGAGTTGGCACATGATCATCATCAAACGGAAGGGTTCCACATAATAAAGCATAGAGAATAACCCCACTGCTCCATATATCTACCTCTGGACCTGCATACAATCTGTAACAGGAAATACCAATTGGATTAAACAGTCATTAGTAACTTGAGAGTCAGTCAATTAATCAAAAATTTTAAATATGGATACTTTATAAAGAATTATTAGAGTATGGTTTCTATAGTCATTGCTATACACTATACATAAAGATTCTATATAATTCTATCAGCATTATCTTTGAAAACAAAAGTCAAGAATTTTTTTAGGTTAGACTATAGCTAAAATTCTGTTCTTACTCCCTTACCAGGGTCCTCATGATTCCAATTAAGAATGTTCTTTAGTGATAAACTCTAATCCCATTCTCCCCCAATAATCCAAGACTTCCTACCAAGGTAAAAGGGGCCTAAGGCTGTGAAAGAAAACCAAACTGACTGGTTCACAGAAGATTCTAAACTGTATTTGCAATACACTGTAGCCAACTGATTTAGCTACCGCAGACTATTAGCTCAAAGTCTGGATTTGGGGAAAGGATGTCTGTAAATTGATCAAATAAACTGTTAAACTAATCCATAAATAATGCTTTTAATTGAAGTTCCCACTCATCCAGGTCTCACAGAAAGACCTTTCCAAACTGGAAAATCAGACCTCAGAAATGGCAAATCCATATACACATATTTACAATATATTTCTTTTTGTTTATTTAATTAACATTACCCCCATAATTTTTTTCCAAAAGAATTTAGATGGTACAAATGAAATAATTTAAAAACATTTTTTAACATTAAGCTGATCTAAAAAATAATGATGAAGCTTGATAAATCTAAAATTAGATACTTCTGCCTTAATCATAGCCATGACGTTACCCAAATATAATTTCTCTGAGCAGGCCAAACAAGATTATGAAAACAGAGAAAATACTCTACTATTTCTGCATTCTGAATTAGAATGTGAAACATTCAAATAAACATGGTGTGAGTGAAAAGTGATTAAAAGTTAAGTATAGGGGCGCCTGGGTGGCTCAGTTGGTTAAGCATCCGACTTTGGCTCAGGTCATGATCTCACAGTTCATGGGTTCAAGCCTCACACTGGGCTCTGTGCTGATAGCTAGCTTAGAGCCTGGAGCCTGCTTCAGATTCTGTGTCTCCCTCTCTCTCTCTGACTCTCCCATGCTCACACTGTCTCTCTCTCTCTCAGAAGTAAATAAAAAATAACATTAAGAAAAGTTTTTTAAATAATAAAAGATAAATATAAAAACTAGTAACAAACTTAACCATCTGTTTTCAATTTCAGTAGTATAGTGAAAAACAATTACCCTTTGAAAATTAAATTTTCCTATATTCAAAAAGATGCACTGTACAAAGATCTTCATGTTCTCAATGCCAGGGGTCAGTAAATTGAGAGGTTAGAATTCTTATAATACTATAGTCTCTAGAAAATGAAGTCTGATGATTACAAAATGCCTTCTATCTGAAAAATTAAAGGTAGACATTACACTTTTAACTCTTCATCTAAGTAAACCATTTCTATATGTAGGTATTCCTGTATTATGCAAGTTTTTAATGTCTGACCTACCTTTAAAATTTGCTAGTTTTAAACCTTCCATTTCTTCTACCAGGAAAAAAAAGTGAAAAGTATTCTCATCAAACTACATTAATACAATACTGACTTGCAAACTAATATTCTCTTCTATAAATGGAGTTATGAATTCTATAAATTCTTCCTTCTGTTTTATCCTTAAAATATAACACTTTCTGGATAAGAAAAGAATAAGCCCTATATGTCTTTCCTTTCACTAGAATTTAATAAGACACTACCGACAGACAAAATCTAGGAGAAAAAGACCATTACAAATGTATTGGGATGAGAGGGTGTCAAATACTACCTTCCTGAAATTACTTCTGGTGCAGCGTAATTCGGTGAGCCACAACTTGTTCTTAAAAATTCACCATCTGACATCATGTTTGAAAGACCTGAAAATGCACACACACACACACAAAAATCAACCATTCAAGATTTCCCAAGGAAATAAAAATAAAACTCCATTAAACAATAAAACTGGGTTTGCATTAAAGTGATAAATCATCATTATATTCTTTGCTTAAACAAATTCCTAGTCTTTACTGTTCCCAAACATCTTGCCATTATGCCCTAAAATTTGTAATCTATTTCAGCATTTAAAGTTAGTGCATTATTGGGGGGCAGCTGAGTGGCTCAGTCAATTAAGCATCTGACTCTGGATTTCAGCTCAGGTCATGATCTGAGCACTCAGATGCGATCGAGCACACTGGGCTCCAAGCTGAGCGTGGAGGCTGCTTAAGATTCTCGCTCTCTCTGTGCCTCTCCCCAATTCACATGCATACACTCTCTCGCTCCAAATAAATAAACTTCTTAAAAGTAAATAAATGAGTGAACAAATGATTTTGTTCATACAGTTTACCTTCTGGCTTTCAGAGTTTGAATAACTCCCTTCCAGTCTCTTTCCTCTGGCTCCATACTTGATCAAAAGAATGTACTGGAGGAGCACCTGGGTGGCTAAATCAGTTAAGTGTCTGACTCTGGATTTGGGCTCAGGTCATGATCTCACGGGTGTGAGTTCAAGCCCCATGTCGGGCTCTGCACGGGCATCTCATAGCCTGCTTGTAATTCATTCTCTCTCTCTCTCTCTGCCCTCCTCCTCCGCTTATGCTCTCTCTCTCTCTCACTCTCTCAAAATAAATAAACTTTAAGAAAAAAAAAACATTGGAAATAAGGTTGCTAACTTCTTCATAAATAATAGTCTGTATTCAAATGTCTCTAATGCTGCCAATTTACCTACTGTCCTAAACTAAATTTTTTTAATGTTTTATTTATTTTTGAGAGGGAGAGAGACAGCATGAGCAGGGGAGAGTCAGAGAAAGGGAGACACAGAATCTGAAGACAGGCTCCAGACTCTGAGCTAGCTGTCAGCACAGAGCCCAATGCGGGGCTCAAACCCACGAACTGTGAGATCATAACCTGAGCTGAAGTCGGACGCTCAACCAAATGAGCCACCCAGGCGCCCCTAAAACTAAATTTTAAAGACATAAAGTTAAGAAGAGAATTTGTCATCTCTTCTCCTTTCTGTATGCTCACAGGCAAAATGGTGAGGACACACTATTTTGGGGTACTCAGTCCACTGCACAGAAGTAAAAGTTATCTGGAGAATGCTATTGATGTCCATAAACATAATGAATATGTGAAACTATAAAAATTTCCTTACCAAAATCAGCTATCTTTGCATTCATGTGTGCATCAAGCAGGACATTTTCAGGTTTCAAATCTCTATGGACCACCATATGCCTGTGACAGTAATCCACACCAGAAAGGATCTGCTGAAACAGACGCCGACTTTCTTTTTCATCCAGCTAAGAAAAGTAGAGAGGCATTTTAAAGCTGTGCTTTTCAAAAATTTTTCTACCTATAATTCTCCAACCTATAAAACTGTCAAAATGCATGAAACCTTCCATATGAACCTCATCCTGAGACACTTTTGAAATGGGGACATGGATACAATCAGCACAAAGCTGAAATGCTCAGAGTACCCTGGAACCCAAGCCAGTAACTCAACTTGCTGTTTCCACTCTTATGACTACCTTGCAATAGATTGTTTCCCCTGTATTTCATGAGCTATTTCAAATAGTGTCAACTTCTCCTTGAAGCTACACATTTTCTCCTATAAATTGGAAACATTTAATCCTTAATTCTTTAACAAATATTTATTGAACATCTTTAGTGTACTATGCACTATTTTAGACACACAAGATACAGCAATGAATAAAACAAAGGCTCTAATCTAACTGACAAAAATAGACAATAAAGAAATAAATAGACCATCAAGGAGTGTTTTGGAGAAAAATAAAGCAGAATAATGGCACGGAATTACGTTGGGGTGGGTGATACTATTTTAGACTATATGAGGAGGTAACATTCAAGACTGTTACTAAATTAGAAAGCAATCAAGTTATATGTCCTGAAATAAAGGCCTTTTAGTTTTAACAAAAGAAAAACTTTAATTCGTTTGTTTTGTAAAATGTAAAAGCATGTGCCTTTTTTCTGAAAAAATTATCTTATGCAGGAATTAACATTTTAAAAAATATTCTTTAAACACTTCTCATTCCATTTATTCATATTGTCTTGTTTTATGATTTTTCCCAAAAGTGATAACCATTATTTGAATAAGCCTGTACCCATGAAGTCATATTTAATAAACAGCCCATTAATTGTCTATAATATGCAATTTTCTAACAGAAGTCACAAATTAGCATTCTAAAACCAGATTTCTACACTTTAAATGGCATGGACAATCTGAGAGAAAAGATGAACTAGTAATTTATTTTGAAAACAAAATTAAAACTAATGAAGTACAATGAGATACCCTTCCTCTAGAGAAAATAACCTGTTAGCAAACGAACACATTTATTTCTAGAAGAAATGTAGATTCATTTTTTAATACTTTATATTAAATAAACTAAATGAAAAAAAAGAATGTGTTCTAAATGTGAAAGAAAACTTAACTGATTAAACAAAATAAATTGGTAAACTAAACAGACTACAAAAATGAAAATTATATTATATTAACAATAAATACAGTACAAAAGATGAAAAAGGGGAAGTCTACGAAGGAAGGTTAGAAAAGTTAAAGAGTTATTTCCAGTTAAACATGGCAGACTTTGTCTCCACACCTTGAAACATCACTAAAAGGACATCAGCGTATAAAGACAAAAAGTGCAAGAAAAGTGACAACAGCAATCAGAAGGAGTCACCAAGCTGTAGAGTGGATGAACAGCAATAAAGACTTTGCCAAACAGAGAGAGCAGAAACCTTAAGCCTGCAGGGTGGAAATCAGTAATAAACTAGCCTGCACACAGAACTCTGGAAAAGCTTGGAAATTAGAATCCTTAGAAATATGTGAAGGGAGAAACGAGAGGAGGACCAAAAGCAGGATAATTGGTTGAAGTAAGTTTTAAACTGCCCCCTACTGGGGAGGAAGACCCATGATTTACTCTTGAGTAAGGCTGAACCAGCTCTGTTCTCAAGGACACCAAGGCAGGGATGAGGCACCCGAAGGAAAACACAGGGATTAAGTGAAAGTCAACATACTAACTACCCAGACGTGCAGGCCTCTTCCCCATTCAGCCCTCAGAAAACTGACAGCTAAGCTAATACTTCAAGGAAATTGGAAGATTTCTTCCAGGGCAACCCTCTGATCTAAGGAAAAATATTTGAAATTACTGGTATTTGGTGTACCCTAACAAAATGGACAGATCCCTACCTATTCAACCAATGGGAAGGCCCACCAATCATTAAGTTCCACCTACATGAGCTTGGCCCTTAGCACCTCACTCAAATAAGCAAGAATCACCAGATATCTGAGGAAGGGTCTTTACAAAAGACAAAGACCAATAAAATGAATGGGGGTGGAGGGAGTGGGGGAGGGAAGGACCAGGGAGCACAGAAGGAACAGTAACCATATAGGGAACAGATGAAAATGTAAATAAATAAATAAATAAAAACTGTTGACTCTTAACTACAGAGAACAAACTGATGGTTACCAGAGGAGGGAGGAATGGGTGAAACGGTGATGGGGATTAAGAGTACACTTATGATGAGCACTGATTAATGTACAGAATTGCTGAATCACTACACTGTATACCTGAATTGAATATAACACTGCATGTTAACTGTATTGGAAAATTAAAAACTTAAAAAAAAAACTGTTATCCTCAGTCAGATAAGATTATCACATTTGTGGAGCAGAACTGGCTATTTAAAAAAGAAAATTTCTTGCGGGCGCCTGGGTGGCTCAGTCAGTTAGAACGTCCGACTCTCAGCTCAGGTCATGATCTCGCAGTTCGTGGGTTCGGGCCCTACATCAGGCTCTGTGCTGACAGCTCAGAGCCTGGAGGCCTGCTTTGGATTCTGTGCACCCCCTCTCTCTCTGCCCCTCCCTGCCTCAAGCTCTTTCTCTGTCTCAAAAATAAATAAAATTTTTAAGAAAATTAATTAAAAAAAAGAAAAAGAAAAAGAAAAAAGAAAATTTCAGAGGTGCCTAGGTGGCTCAGTCAGTTAAGTGTCCAACTCTTGATTTCAGCTTAGGTCAAGATCTCACGCATCAGGCTCCCATGCTGGGCATGGAACATGCTTAGGATTCCCTCTCTTACCCTTTCTCTGCCCCTGCCCCATGTGCACACCTGCACTCTTGCTCTCTCAAAATAAACAAACTTTAAAAAAAAGAAAGAAAAAAGAAAATTTCAGAAAGCAAGATTTTTGAAATTGAAAATATGACAGCTGAAATTTAAAACTTTTTTGATGTTTATTTATTTTTGAGAGAGAGGGAGAGACACAGCGTAAGTGGGGGAAGGGCAGAAACAGACAGACTCAGAAGCAGGCTCCAGGCTCTGAGCTGTCAGCACAGAGTCCAACGCAGGGCTTGAACTCACCAGCCATGAGATCATGACCTTAACTGACTGAACCACCCAGGCGCCCCAAAAGCTGAAATTTTAATATACAACAGGTATAAATTGAAGAAAATTCCCATAATGTAAAAGCAAAATGACCAAGAAAAGACAAATGGAAAAGATAAGAAAACAAGATACTAATTCAACTTGGGCCTGTTTCCATTTTCCCAGCATAGCATAGCATGGGGCGAGGGGTTACAGTGAACAGAGAGGTGGAATACCTGAAAATCGAAATGAACCATGTTAAAAAATAATAAAATCAAAATTAACTTGGTTAATGAGCTGGATCTTGATGAAAGTCAACAGATATGCTACATAGAACAAATGAATGAATGATATAAAAAACTTTAGATTGGGAGGGGAAAAAATGGCTTCTCACTGCTAGACACGGCTCTTTTAGAAAGAGATTTTAGCACACCATGTAACCTCGGTATGAGAAAAAACATGGGCGAGAGGGGCAATGTTTACTTCGTATGTCTGTAACTTAAGATACTGTTCAAAATATCTTCGAAAGTTCCTTCCAAGTCTAAATTCTTTAAGTCTAATTCCTACCTCCTTCATGGAGCCTGTTCTTACTACTCCAGGTACATCAGATTTCTGAAACCAAAAAATGAATGCAATTTAAATGTGGCTAAGGTTGACTAGCAAGGCCTAGATCTTCATTTAATATATTTTGTAAGGATTAAATACATACTTCAAGATATATGTTATCTGTAAACCCCAAAAGCATGAGTTGGAGGATCATGAGTTCTGGGGTCTCAATCCAATTCTGTCACTAATAATCACATGACCTTGAGTAAATCTACAAATTGTGAGTCTCAGCTTCCACATCCGTGTAAGTAAGCTAGGGAAATAATCCTTAAAGTCTCCTCTAACTCTAACTGGTCTATGATTTTAGACAAATACATGACTAAGGGAATTGATTGTTAAGCAGACCTCTTAACAAAATTGCTCTCTCACATCTTGAAGCTAGTAAGGAATAAGGGGAGTTACAAAATATATACAGGATTAAATCAGAACTGCTTACCCTTCCATTTTTACAGATATAATCAAATAGCTCTCCTCCTGAGACATATTCCATCACCATGAAAATATCAGATGGTGTACTGATGACCTGGTACCTGGTGAGAGAAAACATTATCTACCAATATTAAAACATGTATATTCATTCATTCAGTAAATATTTACTAAGCGCCTATAATATAGCAGGCACTGTGCTAGAATCCGGGAAAATTGCAGGGAACAAAACAAATTCTCTGCCTTCATGGAGTTCATGTTCCAGGAGCCAGGAAACAGACACTAAATAAATAAGCAATATCTCAGGTGGTGGAACATGCTATGAAGAGAAACAAAACAATCTTCTAAGGAGAATCTCTCACACAGGGCGTTTAAGGAAGGACTGTCCGAGAGAGTAATATTTGAGCGGAACCTGATGCAAGGGAGCAAATCATGCCACGATCTAGGAAGAAGGTGAACCAGCAAGTGCAAAGGCCCCAAGGTACAAGCCTGCATGGCATGTTTGAGGAATGGTAAGACGGCTAGAGCAGAGTGAGCTGGCACAAAGAAATAGGATGTGGACTAAAAGAGGTATCTGGAGACCAGAGGATAGAGAACCTTACAAGCCACGATGAGGCTTTGGCTTCTACTCTAAGGGAGATGCAAAGCTATTAAAAGTTTTAAGCAAAGTAGTCATGTGATCCGCTCTATTAGAAAGGAAACTTGAATTCACGGCAACAACATGAAGAACTGACTAGATGGTAAACGTGGAGGTAAGAGGCTACTGTAGGAATCCGTGACAGAGAGGACAGTGGCTCAAACTAGGTTGACGGCAATGAAGCAATTGAGAAACACTCGGATTCTAGATAGATTCTGAAGGAAAAAATGGAATGGATGACAGGAAGTTCTGGATGGTTCCTAAGTCTCTGCCCTGAGGAACTGGATATTCACAGAGAGGGTGACAGCTGTGAGAAGAGCAGGCTTGGGGGCGGGAAACAGTTCAGCTCGGGCCTCCCTACAGGGATGTGAAGGAGGCAGTGCGTGATGGATATGCAGTCAGGGGAAGAGGTATCAAAGCAGGGGGTATATATGGAGAGATCATCAGCTTATGGTCAGCACTTAAAACCACAGCACCTCAGCAAATGAGGAGAGAGGAGAGTGACTGAGTCAGCTCATTCAATACAAAAGCTAAGCAGTCGTCACTGACAGCCCGCATGAGAAAACTGAGCAATAAATAAGTTATATGGAAGCCTACAACTGGCCCCTGTAAAACCACCATAATATCACTGCCCTTCTGAAATACTAGAGTCTTGAAATTTTACCATTGTCTTCTCAGATATAAGCAGTACAGGGGAACACCCTTTCTACTGGCTAAGTGACATGTGGAAATTTGGAGGTCAAGAGTTTTTACTAGCAAATCATTGTTGGTTCTACAGTAACAGGGACACAGAAAGTTATCTATCAGAAAGGCATGTCCAGAAGACAAGAAAGAATGAGGAAGGTAACAGTTGGTAAGCACAAGGGCAAAACATGAACACAGGTTTAGGTGACCAGGAACAGGGTTAGATATAGATAAATACATGAACAGGCAAAAACCTCTAAATCTTGAGGGAAGATTCAAGAAATGTCAGTCATCTTTCTCATTTGTCTGATTAAGCAAGTTAACAAAAATTATTTTAAAATGATATGACTATATTTAACACAATCAGATCTTACAGTTTAATTATATGAGGATGCCTGAAAAGCTTGAGGTTCTGAATTTCTCTGCGGATCTTTCCTACCACATCAAGGCTTCGAATCTTCTGTCGATTGAGTATCTTCACAGCAACTTTATGCCCGGTCAATTCATGTTTGCCAACTGTAGGAGAAATAATTTTAACCAATTAGTGCCAGGCTTGATTAATAACGTATTTAGATGTATTCTAAGAGCAGACATCTTTGTATTCTCAGAAAATACTGAACAAATTTAAGTTCCTTTCAATTCTGCCTGATTTGCCCCTAAGTGTTGTTTACATGTTTAAGAATGATTAAGTGGGAGAATATATAAGAAAACTGGTAACAGTGGTTTCTTCCAGAAAGAAAAACTGGAAAGCTACCACAGCAAGAAGAGACTTCCTTTTTGCTATAGACTTTTTTGCACTTTTAAATTCTTATTTTTTAATTCTTAAGCTGTCATATATACAACTTGAACTTTAAAGAAAAACTGAACTTTTTGCTTTCGGTGAACAGTTCTATGAAGTTTAACATGTAGTAACTGGTAAAGCCACCATTAGAATCATACACAGAAGAGTTCCATCATCCCAAAAAATGCCTCATGCTACAGACACACTCCTATCCATAACCTCTTAACCTTTCACATTTCAGAGTTCATCAACATGCAGTTTCTATTTTTAAGAATAAAAAATTCTTTTCAATTTTTTTAAATTTTTTATTTATTTTTGAGAGAGAGAGAGCGAGCGAGCAGGGGAGGGGCAGAGAGAGAGAGGGAAACAAAGAATTCAAAGCAAGCTTCAGGCTCGGAGCTGTCAGCACAGAGCCTGACACGGGGCTTTTTAGGAAAAAAATATTCTCTTCTAAATTAGGAAATAGTTTGTAAGAATAATAGCTGAGAGCTTTCTCCGGTAATCTTGGAAATTACCAGCTAAAAAGCACAGGTAAATAAATAAGAAATTCCTTCTTAGTTATTTATGTATGTTATGTGCTGAATTGTGTCTCCCCCAAAATTCATATGTTGAAACTCTCCCTCTCCAAATGTGACAGTATGTGGAAATAGGGCCTGTAAAGAAGTGACTATTAAAAGAAACAGATCAGGTAGGTCCGAATTCCCACCCCCCCCCCACTCGTGTTATCTTTCTAAGAGTAAATCTGGATACAGAGACACAGCAGGGGTTCACACGGAAAACCCTGGGAGGGCACAGGGAGGAGGCAGCCATCTGCAAGCTAAGGAGAGACACCTCGAAGGCACAAACCCTGCTGAAACCTTGATCTCCAGTGTTTCGCCTCCAGACTATAAGAAAATAAACTTCTGTTGTTAAAGCCATTCTGTCTGAGGTATTTTGTTATGGCAGCCCTTGGCAGATTACTACAATACTTTTTATCATTTCCAAGTTGAAAACTCAATTATTGATCATTTAAACTTCTTGTGTTTAGGCGTGCCTGGGTGGCTCAGTTAGTTAAGCATCAGACTCTTGATTTCAGCTCAGGTCGTGATCTCGAAGTCGTGGAATCGAGCCCCAGCTTAGGTACTGCACTAACAGCATGGAGCCTGCTTGGGATTCTATCTCTCCCTCTCTCTCTCTCTGCCTCTCCCCTGCTCATGCACGCACACATGAGCATATGTTCTCTCTCAAAATAAACTTAAAAAAAAAAAAGATTTAAACTTCCTGTGTTTAAGAATTTTTCTCCTTATTCCAATCTAAATAGGTTTTCCCACTTGACCTGGGATTTGGGTTGGAGCTGAGCCTGCCCACCCTTTAAAAACCCTTAAAGATTACAAACCACTGTAGGTTTTTAAGGTGGGGGACGAGGGGGAGACAACAAGATAATTAAATTAGCTTTCTAAAAGACAAAAGACTCATTGCTTGCTCCTCATTTAATAGGTGCTCTTGATAATTAACAATAAAGAGCATAAAATCTTGGAACTAAAGAGAACCTTACAGATCATCAGGTCGAATGGTTTTCAACAATCCAACATTTCCCCCCCTACCAGGCCAACCCACACAATGAGTCATGGGCACTTCTGCCCTCACGCTCCCTGCAGTTGAGAAGGGCAGGGGGTGGGGTAGTTCCTAATTACTTTGAATTGTTTTAAGCATTTGCTATTTTCCTTAAATGTTTTAATTAATAATATTAAACCCAAGGTAAGTTATACAGGTATTTCACATTTGGAGAAAAAAGTGTTAAGCCTCCAAGAAAACTGTTTAGATCAGAGTTAAGTCTCAATCCTTCTCAAAAATGCAATTTATCACCTAAGTTCACCTTCTACTTTGTCCAGATTCTTTAACCTGCACAATAGCCGTAGAATGTAAATCTTCCCAACAAATCACGAAATAGATAACTGCAACATAGTCAACCCTAACACAAAGCATTATCACAGAATCGAAATGCCAGTTTTAAACTACTACCATGTAAATGGAATCTCTAAATTGTCTTATTACCACCATTTGTATAGCTCAACTAATCTCAAAACCACCCATGGCTAAGACATTATAGAAGTTTCCTGAAAGACGGTATAGAGTAGGAATACACTGGACATACTTCCATCAAAAACTAATTATACATGAAATCAGTAATAAAGAAAAACCTATAATCACAGCTGAAATGAGACTGTGGAAATTAGAAGCACTTTCTAATTTCTAATTCTAATGGAAAGAAATAAGGCTTTCTCCAATCTCCTATATCAATCAGATGTGACTAAGTGTAGTCAACTTGACTGTTAAACCCCAATTTAGGAAGTATCCTCTTTCTGAGACCTAGTTTATTGATACCTGAAGCAGCAGTAATTGATACCTGAAGCAGCAGTAATCTCATCTGTCCGAACTACCCCCACAATCTCCAAGCTTAGTAGAAACCTTCTCCCATTAACTGCATAGCTCAAACAGGGCTGGGAAATACTGGGAAATACTGGATACTACTGGCAGACTCTGAATCAGAAGGAATGCTAAAGCCGAATCCATTTGGGACTGAACTCCCAATTCATCACAAATCAAACACTCTCCTCTCACAGGATACCCTGCTCAACTTAATCTCAACCCAGATTAACTTTGAAACAACTGAGTCTTTTTTTTTTTTCAAGAGAGTGTGCACAAGGTAGGTAGAGAGAGAGAGAGAGAAAGGGAGAATCTTAAGCAGGGCTCAATGCCATATCAGGGATCCTATGACCCTGGGATCACGACCTCAGCCAAAATCAAGAGTAGGATGCTCAACCAACTAAGCCACCCACGCACCCCAGAAACAATGGGTCTTATCAGAACTCCAGATGTGCATTCTAACATTAAAGAAGGAATTGCACTAGAAGACTCAACGTATTCTTTCAAATTCATTCATGTACTGACCATCTGCTACATGCCAGTTAACACTGCCACAGCAAACAGAACTGACCAAAAGCGACCTGGGGCCCTGGGACCTTCCTGGCCTCTGAAGATGACCCAAATAACTGTAAGGTAAGAAAAACTAAAACATTTTAAAGTACAAAAGAATAAAGCAAAAAGAACAGACATTAATTAAAACAAGAACATCTAAAACATGAACCCAAGAATACATGAATGTTGTAGAAAAAATTAACTATCACAAGGTGATAATATAGAAGTTATGGAGCACCTGGCTGGCTCAGTCAGTATAGCATCTGACTCTTGATCTCAGGGTTGCCAAGTTCGAACCTACACTGGTATAGAAATTACTCAAAAATAAAATCTTTTAAGGTGTGCCTGGATGGCTCAGTCAGTTAACGTCCAACTCTTGATCTCATCTCAGGTCTTGATATCAGGGTTGTGAGTTCAAGCCCTGCACAGGGCTCTGCACTGGGCATGAAGCCCATTTAAAAAAATAAAAATAAAGGGGCGCCTGGGCAGCTCAGTCAGTTAAGAGTCTGACTTCGGCTCAAGTCATGATCTCACAGTTGGTGGGTTAGAGACCCGTGTCAGGCCCTGTGCTGACAGCTCAGAGTCTAGAGTCTGCTTCAGATTCTTTGCCTTCCTCTCTCTCTGTTCCTCTCCCACTCATACTGTCTCTCTCGCTCTCTCTCTCTCAAAAATAAAGATTTAAAAAAATGTTAACAAAAAATAAAAATAGTAAACTCTTTTAAATAAAAAAATACAAAAGTTATGAAGAGCAGAGCAAGATGAATTTTACAACAGAACAATTAAAGTCATTTAGAAAGCAGTAAGTTGCAGAAATATGACAGAAAATTTTATTGTAAACATACCAAAAATTAAGAAGAAACTAAAGTTAGCATGTAAAGGATGGATGGTGATAGACAAAGAACAGGGAATCAAGTAAAATGCAACTCATGAGTAACAGGGAGTAGAGAATATTATATCACCTATGAACAAGAGAAGTCCTCCGCCAAATAAGAAAGGTAAATAAACAGAACGAAATCAATAACCAAACAATCAAAGTACAACTTGTTCTAATACTTGAGCGTTTCAAATTAGAGATTACTTAGAAGAAATAGAGGCATATCTTCTTGATTTTTGAAACAAGAGAAATCACAAAAGTATGACTGTATAAATACTATTCAAACAAAAACTGAACAGTAACGGAGGAGAAAGGTGTCATATCAACTACTGTAAGGAGATCAAATTCAATCTCTATCTCTCTCTCTCTCTCTCTCTCTCTCTCTCACACACACACACACCCCTAAGTAAATATGCAGGGTACATGATCAGTTTGTTTTTTTAAGGGAAAATTAGTGCACTAATTCCTTTTTCATGCCTGGCAAACCAACAGAAACATTTTAGGGGAAGAAAAAGAATCGATATACTAGAACAGCATTAAGAGTGAGATTTTTTTTTTTAATCTGTAGTTCCTCAGAATTTAACTTAGAAGTAGATTTTAAAATGTACATTATTTTTATTACAGTGTTTAAGAATGACTAAATGACCTATTTTAGAGAACAGTTTAATACATTGTTATTCCAACAGAATAGACTCTTTCTCATAGGAAGACTACAGAAAATGTTCTTATAATCATAAAAAGAGCAACAAAAACATATGCTATCCACATTTTCTAGCTATAACAAAAATACTTCTATGAAAATGATAATGCACTAAAATAAAAATACTCTATAGTGATTTTTTTTCATATTTTACTTATTGTTTTATATTCTTTACAATTCAAAAATCCCAAATGGAAGAAAAA